GAAGTCACATGTGATGCAGTGTTCAACAAACTGTATACATTACTATACATTACTATAGTAACATGTAGTTACATATGCGTATATTTGTGTATTTTTTATTTGTATTTTACTGATTTTGAGGTGATTTATAATATAAATATTGAAATTTATAAATTTTTGTTGTTTGGGTTTATGAATTTCTTTTTGTATTAGCCAGTATTCGTGTGTGTATATAATTGATCGACTAAAAATATGGGCTAAAAAAAAGAATATAACTACGCATTACTATAGTTACTACAGTTACATGTAGTTATTTTCAGTAAAGTAAACATATTGATTCGAAAATTAAAATAATTAGAAAATAAAGAAATAAAAAAAAATTTAAATTAAATTTTTTTTTAAATTAAAAAAATAAAAAATAAAATATATATATATATATATATATATATATATATATATATATATATATATATATATATATATATATATATATATATATATATATATATATATATATATATATATATATATATATATATATATATATATATATATATATATATATATATATATATATATATATATATATATATATATATATATATATATATATATATATATATATATATATATATATATATATATATATATATATATATATATATATATATATATATATATATAAATTTAACAAACAGGTTTATTAAAAAAAAAAAGAAATAATAATAAATAAATCAGCGAAAATGATAAATGCAGGACCAGAAATGCTGAATGCAGTTTGGGCGAAAATTGCATATAAGGGTAGTATAGTACTTTCTCTTCTCCATGGGGGTATGTCAAAGGATGATTTGGGCTTGGATTTATCCCTAATTTATTTGGTGGCTAGGGGTTATGTAAAATAACCCCTTATTTTTAATAGTCTATAAGGGAAAATTATAATTTTAGTATCATATTCTTCCTTAATAAGAACATAAATAATTTTCTTACATATTAGTTTATCTTTTTAGGACATACATTGTTACTTAAGTATCACACCATGCACTTCCTTTTAAGAAAAATAATAACAAAAGTTCATAATAAACACATTAATTAATTGTTACCAATAACATTATCATTAGCTCATACCATATTTCTGATGCATGAGCTTTCCCAAACTCATGGAATTTTCTTTTTCACTCTTTGGTATTTTCCTATTCATGTTCATATATATATATATATATATATATATATATATATATATATATATATATATATATATATATATATATATATATATATATATATATATATATATATATATATATATATATATATATATATATATATATATATATATATATATATATATATATGTGTGTGTGTGTGTGTGTGTGTGTGTGTGTGTGTGTATAATAGGAACCATAATAATTAAAAACAATAACAGTTAATTAACACATAATATTAATATATATCACACTTGCACTTGAATCATAATACAAACAACATAATAACATAAAATAATTAATCAAAGGCATCAACATACATCAAATATTCAAGACAACTAATTAATAGTAGCTTCCAAATTCCTGCAGAATTATTTTCTTCATTACTGGGATTTAATTAGAACAATTATTACACCGGGCTGCAGGTTTTCTCGGCTCCAAGAATAACGTTGTCGATTCGGACCGGAATAATTCCGACAGCTGCTCCACCAAGCTTCACGACATCAATAATCTGTTCTCTTAACTCTGGTAATTTATTTTCATCGATCACAATTATTTGTGTTTCGATTTCTGGAAGCTTCTGTTTCTTTTCTTGCACAACTTTTTTAGGGTTTTTGTACATCACATAAAGCACCATTTGTATCACACCAAACAAAAACCCCAGAACATTAGGAATCTGTTCATGCAAAAAAAGAATAAGTTAATTATATGCAAATAGTTTAAGTACTAGGAATACATGAAAATTTAAAGACTGTGTTCGATCTTACAGCGATGTTGTAATCTTTACGGAGTAGGCCGTAGAAGAACCACATGACAGCGCTTAGGGTTAGGAAAAACGAGAGAAGAAACGGCATGTATTCCACACTTTTTGTACGTATCACTTGTCTCTGCATTAACAAAGTTCAATTTTTAATAAATTAGTTTTTACGAAAAATGACGTCTATAATTTCTCAAAATTAGGTCATAAATTTATATTAATATCACAAAAAAATTATGTATATAAGCTTACCACAACGCCTAAAGGTGCGACGAACACACACAAAGAAAAGACAAGGCAAATCCATCCCACAATATCGTCTCGGTTTGAGTCGTTTGCCCAGAAATGAGTTAGTACAATTATCAAACCGAAGCCAACCACGTTTAGCAATAGAATCAGCTTCACAGTTTGGATCTATAATAATTAAGATAACGTTGATTAATTATTATAAATATGAACACCACTTATAATATATTGATTAACTAATTTTAAAGGGGTATAATTAACTTTGATTTAATAAATTATTTACCCTAGCATTTTTGGTGGCGAAAAAGAGGTAGAAGCAAATATATGCGGACTGAACGAAACAGCCAACTGTGTTGATAGTGATGAGAAGGGTCGTCTCGGGCTTGAGAAACGCATAGTATATCCATAGCTGGGCGCTGAATAATCCGACCACGTAAGGCACCGATTGAAACCCTTCCGTTGATTTTTTCTTGAATATTGTGTAAAATGTTGGGCTGCAATTCAAAGAAAATTTTCAGCTTATAATTCAATTTCAATAAATGATTATAAGTGTGTTCCGAAAGAGGGACAATGACGGAAAAAAAAATGAATCGGATTCTCACATCGGAGCAAGAAAAACCATGAATGAGATAACGTTGCCTGCAAAAACATTGAAAGAAAACGAGTACGTCAGAACTGCAACGATATACATATTTTTATGGAAAAATTGAACGATTTACACGATTTTGATCATTTAATCAAGAGCGATCATACGATCACATATGCATGCATTTGCATGGTACTTTACGTATAAAATTGTATTTTATATGCATATATATAACATAACCTCTTTCTCTCTCTCTCTAGACAAACATAAATAGTATATATCAATCATCACTAGAAACAAAATGTTGTGCAAATGAAAAAAATTGTACCTAGAAGGCCAAACACAAAAGCCAACTGATTCATCTCTCGAAGTTGGTTTCTAAGGTAAAAAAAGATCGAGAAGAAGATTATTATTCTTGATTCTTTTTCGATACGAGTAAATAATTCTTGTGCAAGTGTCCGTTTATATAGACAAGGTTTCGTGTAAAAAGGTTACGCGCGATCAAATTGAGCATTCGGTGGGAGGGTATGAATTTCCTCTTGCTTTCCTCTTTACAGTTGTTCAAGACTCAAACAACAAGTTGCAAATTTTATCACCATATCTCAAACTAAACCCTAATGCTCTCCATTTAACCTAATTTGGGTATTTTTTGAAATTATGTAAGAACCCATTATGAATTATTAGATTGTTAAGGTTGTAATAGAGGAAAGATGTGCAGATAAAAGTGGGGCCCACATGGGATCTTTCTGATGTGTCACCCACCAATGGAATTAAATTGGGATATTATAAGGGTTACAACTCATACTTTCACTACCAAAAAACAAGGCTTTTGTAACAGAAATTTTGTGACATGCTAAATTTGTCACAATGAATGACTGAATTAGTGACAAATTTGTGATCGATTCTTATAAAACCAATTTACAATTGCTTTTGACGCAATTGTTATGAATTATGTGACGAATTTTGTGACAATAAATATTCGGTCACATTTCAATCACATAATTTGTAACAAAAATTTATTCCGTCATAGTATTTGTCATAATTTGTTTATGGATATGTAATTTAATTAGTATGAGTTACAAATCTGTCACAATATCTTTTTCGTCAAAAATATTTCAGATGTAATTCTGTCACGAATATCGTCATATTCTAAGTTTTGTCACTGGTCCGTCACAACATCATTTTCATCACAAATGCGTCACAATTTTTTTTGTCACAACTCCATCACATTCTAAGTTATGTCATTGATCCATCATGACATCCTTTTTGTCACAAACACGTCACATAAAATTCAGTCATAAATCCGTCATATTCTTGAGTTGTGCCATTGATCCGTCACAACATCCTTCTCGTCACAAATGTGTCACGTATTATCCATTCACAATTCCGTCATATTTTAAATTCTTCATTAATCACTTACTAATATTTATTAGTCATAGATCCATCACAATCTAAATTTCTTCATAGTTTGTCACTACCTTTGTTCGCTATATATATCGCTTTAAAAATGTTATTTATTTACTCAAAAAAAAAAAAGTTATTTACATGTTGGTTAAAATCCCAATTATGTCACTAACTGGCCCTATTTATTTTATATTTTGAAACCATAAAAAATATAGAATAATATAACAAATGCAACCTATTTATTATAATTTATTAACAATTTCAAGTAATTTGATTTTTTTATAGAAATTATGTAAAATGGATAATTAGTCAATTTATTAAAATATTTCTTATAATGGCGTGCACAAAAACTGTATTTCAGCTAGTTACACTATTATTATATGTTATCCTTTTTTTGTTTTATTATTGAAAATCTATTATTTACAAATTTTAGTGTTATATCAATAATTCAATATATGTTGAAAATACCACATTTAATGTACACTAAATTATTAATTTGATTCATGATTTATTATTATTATTATTATTATTATTATTATTATTATTATTATTATTATTATTATTATTATTATTATTATTATTATTATTATTATTATTATTATTATTATTATTATTACTTAAAACCACAATTTATTTTTTGAACATGAAAACTAATTCTAGCAAAAAATATTGGTCTGACCTTCTTATTTAATTTTTATATCTATATTTTTTTTTTAATTTTGTTTTTATCAAACTGATGATAAAAGATATTGATAACAATTGAATTAAAAAAAAAAGAAACTAGTTAAAAGTTTATAAATTAATGATAATTTAGCATTAACTCCTCCCACTACGGCGTCATAGTGAAACCCCACCCAAAACAAGCCATTTAGGTTTTTGAGTTTTGCACATCACAGGCACACACTCACGCTTTCAAATTCAATTTTCTCCACTCATCGTCAAAGGGTAATGGCAGCAGCGGCATAAATCGGGGGTAAATGATTTATAATGTGGTGGTGAAGAACCATAATTGATTTGTACGATGAATCTACACCCGAAGGCAGCGGCGAGCGATTGTCCTCGTCGGTACACTATCATTTGGGCATGAAGGTAAATTTCAGGATTAATTTATCAATATATATATATGCGTAGCTTTTCTGTTTGAATTGTAAATTAATAGGTGGGTGAAAACCGAGTAGAATGTGATGGTTTGATACATATTGAGAAAATTATTGTGTATATTAGATGTATTTGACTTTATTGGTTAATTCAGCAAAAGTTTCGGTTCGGTGATTTTACAAAATTCTCTTGAATTTGGGCGTATGGGGCTATTTGTTAGCCTGTGGTTGCTATCTGCAGAGGCATAAGAGATATGCATTATATTATATGTACTTTCTGAAACAATAAATGATGTTTGTAGGTAATTATAATTGGATGATGTGACTTCGAAACTATTGAATGTTTTTTAATTAGATAGACCCTGAGGTCCAAGACGTTTTAAGCAGAAGCTATGCAGCTTCTGTTTCGTCTCCCTCTTCACATATTGTATCGTCTACATGGGGACCACAGCTTATACTCATGAAGTTGTTCCAACATTAAAATGGTACTTGTATAATCAGGCCATTCTACAGGTTTTTTGTTATGCTCTTGCTTGGAATAGTTGTTCGTTTTTTAATCAAAATATTTGTCTTCTATCTTAGAATACGATGGTTGGCTCTAATTGGCACATTTTGTTTTTCAGATATTCGTTTTGGTATTTTAACTGTTTAATGTTTTGGGCAATACCTCTTATTATTTCTGATCTTTGTTGATTTTTTTATGGCAGGATATTCAATACGGAAGCTTAACAACTATAGTAACTGGTATACGGTATGTGATCGGGGGTAATTTTCTTTTGGTGTTCTTTCTCTTGGGGTTCTGCTTTATGTAAGAAAATTGGACTTAGTTTATTTGAAATTTCACCTTTTTGTGTTACATTGTCAGATGCAGTTTAGATTATTCGTAAAAATGCAAATGTGAGACTAGTGTTGGGCAGGGACCACGTGCTACTCAGATATAGTATGAAGTTGTCGAATTGTCAAATTGGAAAGATCGTCCAAGATGAACTAGTGGGGGTTGAGGGGATGAGAGGGAGAGAAATATAAACGACGATAACATGGCTTGCGGATGTTGGAGGTGATACAGGACAATAGTTTAGAGATTGGGTCTTTGTTATAAGATATTTTTGGCTCGACATTTGTAGTATATTTTTACCATTAGAACTTTTGAAATATCACAACAGAGATAATGGTTTTGTCTTAATATACTTATATGATCATTTTATTGGTTTTGTTGTACATTTCTTTTGATACAGACAATTTGTGACAAAGTGTTTGTGACAGAGGATTGGTGACTAATTGTGACGCTCTCAGTGACACAAATATATAACGAAATATTTCATTCATTGGTGATGAATTATTGACAACAGGAATTGTTTATGACGGCATCCGTCACAGATTTTAGGAAAATTATTTTCATGCTTATTGACGGATTCATGACAACACAAACTATTTGTGACGGAATCCGTCACATAGTTTAGGGACGGGTTATTGACAGCACAAACTGTTTGTGACGGAATCCGTCACATAGTTTAGGGACGGATTAATGACTGCAAAAACTTGACTTTGACGGAATCCGTCACAATTTAAGGGAAAACATTTTGTTAGGTAGTGACAAATTATTGACAGAAAAATATTGCTTGTGACGGAATCCGTCATAGATTTTAGGTGTCTTCGATATGGTAATTTTGACGGAATTACCTTCATTTGTGACGAACGTTTCTGTGATAAACGGTGTGACGGAATTAAAATCTCCGTCACTAATTAAATTAGTGACGAGGGGTTTTCTGACAGACATATTCCGTCCCTATGCCGTCACTAAAGCTTTATAGTGACTGATTTTGTTGCTTTTTGTGACAAAATCGGCTGTCACTAAAGCCTTGTTTTTTGGTAGTGTTTGTATTTCTGGTAGTGTTTGATGCTTCCATTTTTCAACCCTAGATGAGCTCCTATTCAGCAAAACCAAATGGAGTACTACAACCCCTTGAACCAATCAGTTCTTGCCATGTCATCCCACCACTTGTACATTTGGCATCTATTTTACTGCTTGGATGTCTAAAAAATGTATTTTATTTTATTTATTTTATTGAGAGATGTAAGTGAGTAGAAAATTGAAAATTTAGATATGTTTGGTGCATCTTTGTGTTATATATATTTTTTTAATGTTAATGAAGTAACGCGCAACCAACTATATAGGTGCATTGGGTAAATCTACACTTTCATATAATAGGTTGCAACTCATACGAGAGATGTAAACCACACTATAGACTAACCATGTCTGAAAAGTTCGATCTACCGACCGTTGGCACGGGGATTCAAAATTGGGTCAATTGACACATGCATACTTGCTTTAACCGCTAGATCATCCCTTGCAGGACAATATCTTTGTGTTGTTATTGTTCTTAGAAGTTGTGGCTTTTTAAAGTTAGAGTTGTGCATTACACTCCTTTGGTCCTTAAGACTTTATTGAACTTTGGTGTCTGCAAAAGCTTTTAGAAATAGCTTCCGAGCGTTTTTTTTTTCTTTTTCATAATATGTTTTTAGGTGTTTGCAAAAGCATCAGCTTTTGCTTCTGTAAGTTGATTTAATTAAGTTGTATTTTTAAAAGCACCGCTGCTTTTTCTATTTAAGTTAACTTTCCAACATATTTGCAAACACCGCCGACTTTTTTAAATAAGCATAGAATACTCATTTAACATACAATCACTAACTTATACTTTTGAATAAACTTTTGGTAACACCACCTTAATTTGAATCAATATGAAATAGTGTCGCAATAAGTTATATAATTTTTTTGAAAAATATTAACGTTATTATGATGCATGTAGTATGTGTACATAAATGTTTTTGAACTCTAATTTTTGGGGTGAGAACTAAGAGGGTGTTTGGCTAAGCTTATAAGATGTTAAAAGGAGCTTATAAGATGTTTTAGAGCTTATAAGCTCTTCCAAAGTGTTTGGTAAAATTTTAAAAGAAGATCTTAATTTTTTTTTAAATAAGCTGTTGGAGACCAAATAAGATCTTTTTAAATAAATACCTCTACCCCACCTTTTTATTTAAGATTTTATAATGAGTAAAAAAGGGAAATAAACTCATTATCCAAACACTCTAAAAATTAATCCTAAAAATAAGATGTAACAACTTATCAGCTCTAAAAATATCTTATAAGACGTAAGAGCTTATCAGCTGTTTAAAATAAGCTTAGCCAAACAGTACCCTCTAAGACATAAATGATAAAACTATTGCCTAGTTAAAACAAGTGATGAGAGAGGATGAAAACTAGAAGATGAGAAAGGGTTGAGGGACCTATGTGTAATTTCTATCTTACCAAATTAAGGAAAAAGGTCCAAAAATACTTCAAAGTTGACCGCTGGCCGCCTTACCGAAAATTCTGATATCCCACCCTGAATGTTAACTTTTCCCAAATCCACCCCAAACAAAAATGCTTAGTTTTGATTTATCTATCATATAAATAAACTTTATTTATTTATTATGTTTTTTTAAGTATGGTAAAAAAAAAAAAAGTTTTTACAAGCATACCCTATATATATTTATTAAATCATAATATTCAATATATGACCACGGCCCAAAAGTGCCGTAGGCAAAAGACAATCATCCTAGCCAAAAAACCCAACAAAAGTTCGAGAAGCGGTCGAGAAAAGTTAGGTGGTTGTTCAACAATTTTCAAATTTACTAGTAATGGTTAGAATATGTATAACGACTGCAAAATATATGACCATATAACTAAAAGTACTAGTGCGATCTTACTGATCACGATACAAGTTATAAGGAGAGAGTCGTGTTTTTAAATTTTAGGAATAGGCCACTCATAGTCTATATACGTTGCACGAACACGGTAACTTTTTAAATTTTTCGGAATTTATTTTTTGACATGAAACTCATTTATACCGAACCTTAAAGTTTGCGCCGTCTTTAAAAAATTAAAGACACGTTTTAATGGAAATTCCCTAGTAATTTTGTTGCTTCCCTCTTTTAAATGTTTCAAAAATCGAACTTAAATTAATAGTCAACATTAATATTTATTTGAATATATTTATTCAAACTTTTTTACTTAATAACTAGATGAAATATTTTTTTTAATATTTTTTACATATACCATTATTTTAGTATTTACACGTTTTTCCATGTTACGATATCCTAAAATTTAGTTTTTGCAGCACATTTCTCTGCCCATTTCCACATTTAACCGCTCTGTGTTCTCGTATATGTAGGTTTATACTATGCTACATCGAATGAAATACATCAGGTAGACCAACGGTAAAAATTCATCCGGTATAAGTTTCACTGGGTAGCATAGCAATAACCTATATGCGGGTTGGGTAAACAAACTTAATTACTGTACTTAAAACAATATTTTATATATCTTTATAATTTATGGTTAAAAAATTAATGATGTTCTTATAGAAAAATAATTGTAATAGAGTTTAGTAATTTCCCTATTTTAAATGTAAAAACAATATAAAATGAAAAAAAAAATGGGTAAAAGTCGTCCTCCATTCCAAATGTGTATATTGTTATTTATAAGGACAACCATCTTTTTTTTTTTACTTGTTCTTTCAATTATCATAAGTCATAACTATATATATTATTTGACATAGTTTATACATGTATTGGATAATTTTTATACTTACTGTTGCATTTGACGTGAATTATTAAATTTTGATCCACTTCAAGATTTTAATTTTTTTTTTCCATCACTTGTGCATTATTTAATATATCTACATTGTCTATCTCTAACTTTAATTATTTCAAAATATTTAAATAAATCTTACAAAGTTACAAACATTTACATGTTTAACGTTGTTTCTAAAAGTACTTCCAAAAGAAAAAAAAATCAGGTGTCCTGCTTCATAACCTCGTAAACTTACTTCATCAATATTTTTGTCATATTAACTGTAATGTTTACATTATATATTACATTTTTAAATCTAATACAAACACTCAGAATATGCATAATTATTATAAAAACAGTAATAATAATAATTAAAAGCAAAATTAGTTAACTAAAAAAATAATTATGAAACAATAATATTATGTTACATTACACTTGAACTCAATTAATAATGATCAGAAAACATAACTTCATCCAACCAATCCAACCTTAAATTTTAGGACTAACAACATCATATATAACAATAATAATAGTAAAATAAATTGGAATATTGAAACCAAATTAAATCAAGAAAACAGCTTAATTAAATATATTACACCGGGCATCTTATAGCTTTTCCGACTCCAAGAATATGGTTGTCCACGTTGACCGGAACCAGAGGAATAATTCCGACAGATGCTCCACCAAGCTTCATTACATCAATAATCTGTTCTTTTAATTCTGGTAATTTATTTTCATCAATCACAATTATTTGTGTTTCGATTTCTGGAAGCTTCTGTTTCTTTTCTTGCACAACTTTTTTCGGGTTTTTGTACATCACATAAAGCACCATTTGTATCACACCAAACATGAATCCAAGAACATTAGGGATCTGTTCATGCAGAAGAAATTAAAACGAAGTTAATTATATAATTAATTAATCTAAGTACTAAATTAATTATAGCACATGCAAAATTATATGAAAGACTACATGTGTTGCGTTCTTACAGCGATGTTGTAATCTTTACGGAGTAAGCCGTAGAAGAACCACATGACAGCGCTTAGGGTTAGGAAAAACGAGAGAAGAAACGGCATGTATTCCACACTTTTTGTACGTATCACTTGTCTCTGCATTACCAAAATTCAATTTTAATAAATTAGTTTAATTTTTACGAAAAATTCGTCTTAGAAAAATGGCGTCTATAATTTCTAAAAAAAATCAAGAAATATAAATATATACATATGCTTACCACAACGCCTAAAGGTGCGACGAAGACACACAAAGAAAAGACAAGACAAATCCATCCCACAACATCGTCTCGGTTTGAGTCGTTTGCCCAGAAATGAGTTAGTACAATTATTAAACCGAAGCCAACCACGTTTAGCAATAGAATCAGCTTCACAGTTTGAATCTATAATTAAGATAATATCGTAAATCAGAACACCATTATAAGATATTAATTTAATTTGTAATAGGGTAATTAATTAAGTACTTTGATGTAATTAGTAATTTACCCTAGCATTTTTGGTGGCGAAAAAGAGGTAGAAGCAAATATATGCCGACTGAATGACACAACCAACTGAGTTGATAGTGATGAGAAGGGTCGTCTCGGGCTTGAGAAACGCATAGTATATCCACAGCATCGCGCTGAATAACCCGACCGCGTAAGGCACCGATTGAAACCCTTCCGTTGACTTTTTCTTGAATATTTGGTAAAATGTTGGGCTACAATTTAATTAAAGATAATAAATATATAAATTCAAATTGTATATACTGCAATAAATGATTATAAGAATCTGAACCGGGCGAGCTTACATTGGAGCAAGGAAAACCATGAACGAGACGACATTGCCTGCAAAAGTCGTAAAACAAAAAAAGTAATTTGCATTGTAATTCTTGACCAAGAATATATAGCTAATTTGATCAATAGCCATTAATACGGTCGACAACAACATACATGCTTTTGCATGATATATATTTGTTTACGTGCAAAATCTACGAAGACCAAGCCTATGTAAAGACAACAAATTTATATATACTATACGTACCTAGAAGGCCAAACACAAAAGCCAACTGATTCATCTCTCAAAGATTCTGAGGCAAAAAAGATCGAGAAGAAGATGATTATTCTTGATTCTTTTTCGATACGAGTAAATAATTCTTGAGCATGTGTCCGTTTATATAGAGAAGGTTTCGTGTAAAAAAGTTGCACGCGTTCAAATTGAGCGTTCGGTGGGAGGGTGTGAATTTCCTCTCGTTTTCCTCTTTACAGTTGTTCAAGACTCAATCAAACAACAAGTTGTACATTTTATCACCATATCTCAAATTAAACCCTAATGCATGCTCCAATTTAACCTAATTTGGGTATTTTCTGAAATTATGTAAGAAACCCATTATGAATTATTAGATTGTTAAGGTTGTAATAGAGGAAAGATGTGCAGATACAAGTGGGGCCCACATGGGATCTGTCTGATGTGTCACCCACCAATGGAATTAAATTGGGATATTATAAGGGTTACAACTCATACTTGGAGTTTCTGGTAGTGTTTGATTCTTCCATGGTGGAACCCTAGATGAGCTCCTAGTCAGCAAAACCAAATGGAGTACTACAACCCTTTGAACCAATCAGTTCTTGCCATGTCATCACACCACTTGTACATTTGGCAGCTATTTTATTGGTTGGATGTCCATTAATGTATTTTTTTTAATCGAGGATATGTAATATAAAAAAATGCAGATATTTTTTAGCGTATACAGTTAAATCTCTATAAATTAATATAGTTGGGACCATCTAAATTCTATTAATTTAACGAAACAGTTTTTTTCAGCATGTTGTGCTCGAGTCGGGACCGGAAAAAATGTATTATTTAAACAAGTTTAATAATTTATCGATGGTCTGCTGTATATTTTTGTGCTATTGTTCTTAGAAGTTGTGGCTTTCCAAATGTCTAATTTCGTTACTATTGTAAAGATTGTAAGTTTAAGTGATTTTTTTTTTTTTTTTTTTTTGCCTTTTTTTAACTTATGGTTGAATTATTTGCACTTCAGAATTTGGAATTAATCAACATTAAATAATGTCATAAGTTATATATATTGTTTGGAAAATATTAACTTTACAAATGGCCATTATTGACAACTGTAAACTGAATAAAGGATTAATATTTTGAGGGATTGACATAGAATGATGCATGTATTATGTATATATGTAAATGTTTTAGAATTCTAAACAAGTGAGCCCTAATTTTTGGGTGAATATACTAGAAACATATTAAGTTGTTTTATGCAGCATAAAAACTTCAATTTCTCAATATATCCGCATTTCGGACACGTTTCGTCTCTGACATTCGAGGGCATCTGCCAGACAGACACCTTATGAGCTATTTTGCAATTTCTGGAAAGGTTTGAAACATGTTTGAATAGCGAATTTCCCTAATTTTTTTTTTGTTGTTTCCCTAATTTTTTACATGATTTAATGATCAATTACAAATTGATAGTTGATAATAATGTTTATTTTGAATATATTTGTATGGAAATATTAAAAAATAATGATAATAAATAAAATATGATGTATGTTTATATAGCATATTTATAACTATACCCATGTACTTTTAATTTTTACATGTTTACCCCAAGTTCCAATATGCTCATTTTTTAAACATTCCGTTTCCCCGTATCGTCATTTCCGTGTCCGATCCGTGCTACATAAGTTGGTTTTCAAGAGTAGAATTAATTAATTGGCTAAAACAAGTGATGAGAGAGGATCAAAACTAGAAGATGAGAAAGAGGGTTGAGGGGCCTATGTGTAATTTCTATCTTACCAAAACTAAGGAAAAAGTTCCAAAAATAATTCAAAGTTGACCACTGGCCGCCTTGCCCAAATCTGATATCCCCCACCCTTTATTTTAACTTTTCCCTAATCCCACTCAAAACAAAAATGTTAAATTTTGATTTGTTGATCAAGTTATATATAATTTTTTTTTTTGTATGTTTTGAAAATCTAACACAAATTAATAGTTGACATTATTATTTATTTGATATATTTATACAAAATTTTATACTTCATAACTATATGAAAATATTTATTTGTTAGAAAATTACGTATAAATTTTAATATTTACAGGATTTCTCATATATCCACTTCCACATATTATTACCATTTGTGTATACTTATTCTTGCATTTGACGTGAATGATAAGTTAGTTGGAAACTGATTTATTTTGTCAAATGTTTATCCATGTGAAGATTTTAATTTTATATATTTTCCCCACCTATCTTGTGCATTATTTAATAAATCTAGATTGTTTATCTCTAACTATAAGAAAATTCAGTAATTTTAAAATATTGAAATAAATTTTACAAATATTTACTTGTTTAACGCAATATTTACTAGTACTTCTAAAAAAATTCAGGGGCTTTACTCAAGAACAATGTAAACTTTTAATTTACTTTGCTAACTTTATCATAATGCTGTTCATATTAAACTTACAAATATTATATCCCAATTAAGAAATTTGGTTCAATCATTCTCATACAAGCGAATTATATTATACAATGAGTCCCAATTTTACGAATTCTTAAAATTCACCTAGGCTCCAATTTCTCAGGAAATAGAGCATGTGTGTGCACTATATAGTATATACTATGTATTACGCACCTTGTTACGTACTATTAGTGCAACCAGAATTTTAAGTCCGTAGAGGCTTGACACATTAAAAAAATCTGAGAAGGTGCCGTTAATGCCATTATACACAATTTTTTTTTCTTTTTTATATTTTATATCAATAGTTGGATTTAAGAAATGTTGGGGGGCATGGCCCCCTTCCCCTTTGCTGGCTACTATTATCATTAACATATCTTATTTTGTCATTGTCATTTTTGGTCAAACCATTATACTATACTATAGTGTTTTCAATTTTTATTTTAGCAAACCCTTAATACAATAATACAAACATGCACGGTAGTAATAATAACAATAGTAATTAAAAACAAAAGTTTAACTAAACAATAATACACTTGAGCTTAGTTAATCATGATCATCAGACAACATAAACTCAACCAAACTAACCTTAAATTTCAGCACAGTACTTAGTCATAACAAACATCGTAACTATATTAAATCAAATTGCATTAAAACCAAATTAACTGAAGATAAAAGCTTAATTAGTTCCCAGTTATTGGAAAGTTTTCTTGGCTTAATTAATTAATAATATATAATTATATGTATATGTGTATAATTAATCATTATTAATACACTGAGTTCCAACTCCAATAATATGGTTGTCCACGTGGACTGGAACCAGAGGAATAATTCCCAGTACAGCTGCACCACCAAGCTTCATCACATCAATTATCTGCTCTTTTAACTCTGGTAATTTATTTTCATCTAACACAATTATCTTTGTTTCTATTTCAGAAATCTCTTTTTTTTCTTTCACCACTTTCTTCGAATTCGTGTTTTTGTACATCACGTAAAGCACCATTTGTACCACACCGAACAAGAATCCGAGAACATTAGGAATCTGTTCATGCAAACAAAAGAATAATAAGTTAATTATATATATACAATTACATGCAAAATTAAAGACTACATGTGTTACGTTCTTACAGCGATGTTGTAATCTTTACGGAGTAGGCCGTAAAAGAACCACATGACAGCGCTTAGGGTTAGGAAAAACGAGAGAAGAAATGGCATGTATTCCACACTTTTTGTACGTATCACTTGTCTCTGCATTAACAAAATTATACGCTTAACAGAATAACAGAACAGCAACGAAAAACTGAATCTGACACAAATACATAATATTTGCACGAAATAAAACTAAACATTTATTATGAAAATATCTTGAAAAAATGGTGACGTACGTCTATAATTTCTCAAAAATAGGTCATAAATTTGTATTAATTAGAATCACAAGAAATATATGTATATAAGCTTACCACAACGCCTAAAGGTGCGACGAACACACACAAAGAAAAGACAAGGCAAATCCATCCCACAATATCGTCTCGGTTTGAGTCGTTTGCCCAGAAATGAGTTAGTACAATTATTAAACCGAAGCCAACCACGTTTAGCAATAGAATCAGCTTCACAGTTTGGATCTATAATAATTAAGATAAAGTTGATTAATTATTATAAATGAGAGAGCCATGTTATATAATATTATTGATATAATTATTAGAAGGATGTAATTAACTTCGATTTAATAAATAAATAATTTACCCTAGCATTTTTCGAGGCGAAAAAGAGGTAGAAGCAAATATATGTAGACTGAACGAAACAGCCAACTGTGTTGATGGTGATGAGAAGGGTCGTCTCGGGCTTGAGAAACGCATAGTATATCCACAGCATCGCGCTGAATAACCCGACCACGTAAGGCACCGATTGAAACCCTTGCGTTGATTTTTTCTTGAATATTGTGTAAAATGTCGGGCTGCGATTCAAAGATAATATATCATCATGTAAATAAATCGTTATTAGAATTATGTCGAAACTAAATTGAAAGCTTACATTGGGGCAAGGAAAACCATGAACGAGACGACGTTGCCTGACAACATTTGTAAAACAAAAGAAAAGTATATATGTTAGCTAGTATTGTAACACATATAATATACTCAACTTCATAATTAAATGATAATTCTTGACATGATATACTGTGACCAAGATTAATTTGATCAAGATCGATTTAAAAGGAAATAACTATACGCAGGGTTATGCATGATATATACTTTACATGCAAAAATATATACTATCAAGACTATGTATAGATCGACGATGACAAATATATACGTACCTAGAAGGCCAAACACAAACGCCAACTGATTCATTTCTCAAGATTTCTTGTAAAAAAAGATCGAGAAGAAGGTGATTGTTCTTGATTCTTTTTCGATACGAGTAAATAATTCTTGTGCAAGTGTTCGTTTATATAGAGAAGGTTTCGTGTAAAAAAGTAACACGCGTTCAAACTGAGTGTTCGGTGGGAGGGTGAATTTCCTATCAGTTTCCTCTTTACAGTTGTTCAAGACTCAAACAATAAGTTGTAAATTTTACCAATTATTCCAAACCCTAATGCTCCAATTTAACCTAATTTGGGTATTTCTTGAAATTCACTAAGAACCCATTATGAATTATTAGATTGTTGAGGATGTAATAGAGGAAATATGTGCAAATAAAAATGGGGCCCACATGGAATCTTTCTGATGTGTCACCCACCCATGAAATTAAATTGGAATTTATAAGGTTTACAACTCATACTTGGAGTTTTTGGTGGTGTTTGATTCTTCCATGGGTGAACCCTAGATGTGCTCCTATTCAGCAAAACTCAATGGAGAGAAAGAACCAATTAGTATTTGACACGTCATCACCACTTGCACATTTGGCAGCTACTTATTAATTAATGTGATTTTTGTTTTCTACTTATTGAAGATATAAGTATAATTTTTCATAATGTTCAAGACATAAGTAAGAAACAATTCACATCATTAACAGTTTTAAACTTTTAGATTAGATGATCATTCAATATGATATTATTAAAGTCATACCAAATGAAAGGGGTTTGTGTTCGAATCAAACCACCACTCACTTTAAAAATTCCATGTGTAGAACTTCTAAAATGTAACATGTTTGTCTGCATCCACATTAGGGGCTTGTTCGAGATATAAATGTTAAATGATTTATCTCCTTACCAACTTAACCTAAAAGGGGGTCATTAACACGGTATAAGTAGGATGAAATGAAAGATTTGTTCGAATCCAACTACTACCGATTTCAAAAAAATCATGGCAAGGCCTTTAAAATGTAAGCTACGCACCTGCACGTACGTGAAGGTGCGTATTGAAAATATAAATTTTAAATATCAAATGATTAACCTTACTAAAATTAGACTTTTAGATGAGGTGATCATTTGAACATATATATGTTAATCATGTATGCTCCCTCCATCCAAATTTTTTGAATTTATTCAAAAATTCGCGTGCAATGCTTTTAAAATGTAACCTATTAACCTGCACATACGTGAAGGGGCATATTGGAAATATAAATATTAAATGATTAATCTCAATAAAATTAAATTTTTAGATAAGATGCTCATTCGAAAAAATTATGTAAATCATGTACACTCCCTCATCTGAATTTTAGCTTGCATTTGATGGTTGAAATTGAAAAAAAAACAAAAATGTTTATCTTTATTTGTTGCTCTTAAAAGTTATGGCTTTGAGTTGTGAAGCTACTTAGTCCTTACACTTTTTGGGTTTGTCCTATGCTATACTCGACGAAATTCAAGGGATTATATTTTTCCATAAATATGTATAGGTCCGTACAGAGATAAGAGACATTATAATTTGGGGATGACAATGGGTAAGGGTTTACCGGGTCTTAAATCCGGAACCGACATGTTTGGGGCAGGTCTGGGTAAGTTAAACAATTCTGGATTAGGTAATGATTTTAAGTTTCTAGAAACGGACGGTTCTGGGTTGGATTACGAGGCTTATTGGAACCGATCCAGAACGACGCGTATAAATATATTATATTTAATAGTTAATAATCTATATATACCAATTAATTAGAATTTCATTCATAAATCTTACTACTTTCATCGTGTCTATTATCATTTGCTAATTTTCACTGTTTAATTTTTATGAATCTTGTTTCTCGTAAGTAATATCTATCAAACTTCTCGACCACCGCTAGCCGTCTTTCATTTTGAACTTTTTTTTATCGTAGAAGTTAAATATAATTATTTATATAATTTTATTATTCATTTTATATCACTTGTAAAAGTTTTTTAGAATATTGTATTTTAATTTTAAGATTTTTTTGTTAAAATATACAAGCAAAATATTATGAAAGTTATTTTTTTTATGTTAACAGGTCCAGCGGTTCTGGCGGGTCAGAACCATTTAGTTCGGGTATGGATTGGGATGAATTCGGATCTAAGCTAAAACGGGTTGGTGCCGGTTTGAGTTTTACATATTTTTCGCTGGTCCGGTATCGGGTTTAGGTAAACCCACCCCATAACCGACACGTTGCCATCTCCATTATATTTTTGTGTGTGTGTGGTGTTTTTGACGAATGTAGCCCGAGACCCTTTTTTATGTTTAATTTCATTAACTCAATTACCGTAAAAATCATAATCTTATTTGTTACATTATTCGTTACAAAATTTTCAAGAGTAGGATTTTTTAATTAAAAAAAAACACTAAATTGTTTGCCTAGAATTAGTGATTAGACTATTGTTTCCGATATGACCATATTAAGAAAAAGGTCAAAAATAATTCTAAAGTTGACCCCGAGCTGTCTTACCCAATTCAGAGATCGCACTGTGATTTGAATTTTTTTAACCACCCAGCCGACCTCCAAAATAATTAAATTGATAAAATAACTTAGCTTAAAACACTTCTAAATACTTTGAATTATTTATGCATATTTAATTTAAACAAAATTCACTATAACAAAACCGGAAAGAGTGATCCTTCATTACAAGATGAACTGCTCCTCGAAGCTAACAAATAGGCCGGGCCAAGATATTACCAGAACATTTGACATAATGAAAATTGCGGGATGATTACACTTTCCGTTCTTATATTTGTCATCTAAAATGACTGTAGTCCTTAAATTTTCTCCGTCACGAATTTAGTCTTCAAACTTATCATTTTTGACATTTTTGGTTCAACCGTCAACCTTCAGAGTTAACTTAGACGGAATTGTGATGTATGCCACACGTGATGTGATGTCCATGTGACAGTCAAAATTGAGCTGGAAGATGAGCTAGACGACACCTCATTATTTCTCTCTATTTCTCTCATATCTCCTTACAACAAATTATCCATGATTCCTCTTCTACATAAAACCTCAAATTTCCCATCTTCGAAGATTGCGTTTTGATTTTCCAAGTATCAAATCCACTTTGCAAATGGGTAGATTGATTAGTTTTAATTTCAGATTTTTGTTGTCGTTTGTTGATGCAGGCCAATGGAGAGGCTTTATGTTATTGGGTCTATCTTGCTTCTGGCTCTCATATTTACAATTGCTTCAAGTATGGCGCGTATATCAAATTTTTGGTTAATTTAAAAACTGGAGTATCTTAATATGGAATTCCTCATGTTTATTTCAGATTTATGTGTAAGATTCATTTGTTGGTCGAGGAAAAGAGATATATATGTTGATATTAATACACTTTCTAGAAATTGGTCTTTACAAATAAGTCCATCAATGAGTACTTATTCATAAAGAGATCTAGACAATAAACTCATTTACAAAAAGATCTACACATGGTTCAGATTTTTGTAAAAGACTAAAATAACATCTCATACTTTAATATGAATTTTGTTATAACTCCAATTGACTGGAATTATCCTAAATGCCCCTATTTAATATTATTGAAAATTACTATATTTTATTATTTTGGAAAATCCATTATATTTTTGGTAGATATGCAAATCCCCTTATTTTCTCCCCACATCATCCCCCAATTATCTCCCATCGGCATTTGTAATTAAGTTTTATCATTTTTTTTAAATGGTTTTTTATATCAATTTAAAACAAAAATTGGTTTTTTTTTATTTCACTTTTTTAAATGGTTCATATTTAAAAAAAATGAAATCCACTACATACTCATCGAAAACCACTAAATTTGCCGAAAACCACTATAAAATTAAAGTAAAAAATACAATAAAATAAGCATAATTCACATTAATATTAACGTAATCCCACTCTGTAATTAATAAAAATCGCTCTGTAATTAATGAAAATCACTAGATAATTAACAAATTTCATTACAAAAATTCACTAAAAACTTATCAATTAACAAAAACTAATTAAAATCACTATCTAATTAACGAAAACCACTCTGCAATCAACGAAAACCACTGTATAATTAACGAATTTCATTACGAAAATTCACTCTGTAATCAATGAAAATCATTCTATAATTACTGAATCACTATGTGCATGTAATTAATTCCACTATGTATAACCAAACATGTTCATACATCTACGATTCTCTCGAGATAACTCCTATTGAGATGTTTTCGAAACCACTATGAACACCACTCTGTATATTTTCGAAAACCACTATGAAATTATCGAAAACCACTATAAAATTACCGTAAAATTCACTATGACATTAAAGTAATGCACATTAATATTGATGTAATCCATTACAAACTTATCGAAATCTACGTAATTCACAACGAATTAAAGTAATCGACTAAAAACACAACAAAATGTTAACAGAAAAAAAAATACATATGTACGTATTGCTATTTCCCAAGATTTTTAATTACTTAATTATCTTTAATAATATCACGTTGAGGAGAAACAAGCTAAAAGAAAATCTTCTAAGACATTAACATTTAAATATTTAACGTAATATGATCAAAAAATTCCTCACTGTGTTTTTTTTAGCACACAAGTCCCTCAGTAGTGAGTGTCTATGGGGTAATTTGGTATAAAAAAAAGTTGAATAGTGGGGGAATGTGCGAATAAAATAATATTGAGGGTTTTTTTAACAATTAGAAGAAGAAGGTACGTGAATGTAATAAACCCACAGTGAAGATGAAGATGATTTTGGAGTATTTAAATAGCCTCTTAATTCCCTTACCTCCCACACTGCACAAAAGTAATACAATATGTCTTTCTGGAGGAAGGAACTTTAATTTGTTCTCTCATCTATTTCATATAAATTAAATGATCTTTTATTTATTTATTCTATTTTTCATTTTGTTTTTAATAATATTAATTTGAATGAAGGAGTTGAAGTGAAAAGGGGGATTCCTGAATATTATAGTTGTGTTCCTGGAGACAGTAAAACAGGTCTCCAACTCACACAGGTAATTAATTAATTTAATTTAATTTAATTCCGTAGCTTGTAACAAATACAGTTTAGTATATATAATTGATGTATGCGTGTTCATAATTAATTAATTAATTAATTAATTAATGAAATAGGCGACACTGGAGAAAGGCAGCTCGAAAGATAACAGTTATGTAGAGTGCTATGTGGACGGATCGAAGATTCCAAATGTATTTTTGTTCATTTATCCCAAATAAGACAGAAACTCAAATTGATTTTTTGGGGTTATATGACAAACACCCCTCAATGAATTTTGACTTCTTGATAAATCCATGTTTTTTAATTGATTTTTGTTATAAGTCCAATTGACTGGAATTATCAAAAATGCCCTTATTTAATATTATTGAAAATTACCATATTTTATTATTTTGGAAAATCATTATATTTTTGGTAGATATGCAAATCCCCCTATTTTCTCCCCACACCATCCCCCAATTATCTCCCATAATTAAGTTTTATCAATTTTTTTTAAATGGTTTTTTATATCAATTCAAAACAAAAATTGGTTTTTTTTTTTTATTTCACTTTTTTAAA